GTCAGTCACCATAAAATTTTACCTAATATTAATATAGCTTCAGTTAGAAATACTATTTACAGTTGACTTTGTACAGTAATTAAAATAAAACTATACAAGAAAATGTACACAATATTCACATCCTTCAATAGCGTTCCCATGTAAAACCATATCCTTGAGGCAGGTCACTCATTATCACTCTTCCATGCAAAACGATATAGGGTAAAATAAACACGAAAATGAAGTTTGGCATTATGAGACCGTCTTCAGTCTTTGAGGAGTAGACATCACGACAACAAAACGAAAAGAAAAGAACCTCACATATGAGTAGAGTGGCGACGAAGGAATGGATTTTGCTCCTCTCAAACCCAGCTGTATAGTTGCAACTGCTGATGAAATCGGCCAGTTGCACCCTACAGCAACCATCGCTTCGAGTTTGGATGGATGAACTGCTCTTGACGTTGCGCACAAGACAAGAAGAAGCTCACGGGAAGGCCGCCGAAGAGACCGGGCGGTCAGTAGCGCTACCGGGCGGCAGCGAGCGGTGAGCCCGGCGTCCTCACGGGCCGCGGGGCCAAGGCGTACAGGGCCGCGGCCAGCAGCAGGCACTGCGTGTAGGCGGACAGCATGAGGCCCGAGGAGCCGCTACCCGCACCAGCAGCTGCCAAACAAAACGGCACGTCATTGGGTGGGGGTCCGCGAGGCCTTTCAATCGCCTAGCAGGAGAGCTTGTCCGATGGGACAGGTCACTAAGGGAGGGCCGGGAAGGGGTAAGCTAACATTTTCGGCAGCGACGCGAGTCCCTCTCTGAGCGCGGGGATTCAAACCTAGTCGCACTACCGACACTTACCGTGGACGCGGTCGGCGCGGCTCTTGTCCGGGGGCGCGCGGCTCTCCCGCGACTCCAGGGCGGGCGCCCGCTGCTGCTTGTCGGGCTCCACCGACTCCTCGTTGCTCTTCCAGTAGACCGAGAAGATGGTGGCCAGGCACTTGAGCTTGAGGTCGCCGCGGTGGAAGTGGTGCTGCTGCACCCGGAACTTCAGCCCCAGGGTGGACTGCTCCAGGCCGTCGGCGTTCTCGTGCCGGAACGGGCCCTCGAGGTAGCGTGTGTCCGCCTGCGGAGGGGGGACACGGAGGGCGGCGGTGAGCAAAGCGAGCAATGAGACTGACTGTGATTACCCACCGGGGCGCACCGCCCACTCACCTGCTCGCCGTTGATGTACCACACGAGCTGGGCGGCGGGGTGCGAGTACTTGGAGGTGCAGTTGACCCTGACGACGTCGTCCACCTGGTAGCGCCCGCGTCCGCCGGTGATCTGCGGCCCGTCCTTGGGCAGCGCTGCGGGCAGAACAAGAAGGACCGTTTCATCTCCAATCACGGCTGAGGAGTCACGTCTCAACGCGACTGAATGAGAATGCGTGTGTGTATAGAATGCGAATGCTCGTGTGTGCGTGTTAGGGATTTAAAATTACATGTCATAAAAAACCGTTACCGTAAGTTACGTAATTTACCGAAAATTACTGAAATTTTTGGTAAAAAATGAAATTTTT